CACAAACAAGTGAAAATAAATCTCATCAAATACGGAAAACAGCCCTAGAAACACGAACAAGTAATTAAATACTTCTGCATTAGCAAGAATGTTCAGTTTCATAAAATTCTCACCATTGTTACCACGAATGTAACTGAATATGTGTAATCCATGAAGCATACTATGGTCCACTTATCACTAAAATTGGATCAAAGTGTTAATATAATGGTCTAATTTAGCCTTCATACCTTCAATATCTTGCCTATGGAAGCATCCAAGAAGTCTGGCAAAGACAGAAGTCGCAAAGTATGGCCCTGCAAAGAACAACAGTCCAGCTCAGTAGATTAATTTACAAAATGAAGTGACATGAAAAATAAGACTTTTTCTTACCGTTGGTGCAGTATCAAAAACTATTCGAGTGAACATACTGTATTCCTGGGATTCAAGGAATTGCATCACCTGGCAAGAGGTTACATGATCGGTAAGGAATTCAAAGATATGCCATACGCCACACAACAGGTTGATTAAGCAGGGCAAACAATACGCACTTTGGAAATTGCAATTGCTTCATCCAAACCAGGAGGAGGTGTGTCCAATAGCTCTCCAAGTTTTAATTCTCCTAACTTTCTCAACCAAATGGTGGGCAACCAAAAAAGGATGAAGAAATTAAGATATGCATTCTCACTTTTGAAACCATCCACGAAAGATAAAAATGCAAGTACATTCAAGGGAAGACATTTGTCATCTCAAGTTGTAAGCCAAAAGCTACAGATAAAGCTTTACCTGCTCTACAAGCATACCGAGACCCATACCATCCATGAAATCCTTAACCCCAGTTCCACCATCTTTCTGAGTTACACTGCGAAATTCTTCCCTAGCCTTCTCAGGGTTTATCTATAGCAAGAAGTGCAATTATGTCTTACAGTAAATGGCCAACAGAACCATCATTAAAAAAATGTAAATATATAATTATATATTAAACAATCATAGAAGAGCAAATTCCCACAAACCTCGAGAGCAAACAATGGACAATCAGGTCCATCAACCGGAACCAGTTGCCCTCCAGTCAAATCCTAAGTAAAAATAAGCATAAGCATGAGTACAAACACAAAATGCACCAAGTTAGACTCTAGTATGAGCAAGCATTCCTGATTCCTTATTTCCAAGAAGACCAACAAAGTAAAAGGCTATAAACCTGAGCAAAAGAATCACTCAATGAATGTGCAGGATCAGTTGAAACCACTAAAGTGGGGTGCCCATTATTTGCAAATTTAACAGCAAGTGAAGCAGCACAACTTGTCTTGCCTACACCTCCCTTGCCACCTAACATATAATACTTCCTTTGAGTCCCGGACACCATTTCATCAAACCCAGCAACAGCTTCCGAAGGAACAGCCACTGATCTCACTGCCATACACACTAAATAATCAGTTTTCAACACACAATATGTGCTCATTCTACCAACGACTTTTTCACAGTTTTAAGTGGAAACTAAATTTCATCAAATTTTGAAGCATCATGTTAAGCAGCGAATCTAAAATTCATAATTAACAATCAAAATTATTGCCTCCTATAAAAAAATTACCTTCAAATCATAACTATGAAACCAATACAAAGACAAAGAACAAAAACAGAATAAACCCACCAAAGAAACTTCAAGTGTAAAAGAATCTGATAATTTTTTTTTTTTTTTACCTTGAAGTGGGATATTGGAACGCTTTTGTTTGATGGAAATTGAAACAAAGCGAGTGTAGAGCGTGCCGGTTTTGGGAGCGAAAGAGAGCGAACCCATTAAAGACATAGAGTTTGAGTTTGTATTGAAAGTAAAGTTTCTGTGAATTGAGAATGAAGAAGACGAAGAGGTGGAGGGAGCACAACAACAGGAAATTGTTGCCATGTTTCTGAGTTAATTCACAAACTAAACAAAGAGTTTAGGTTCCGAGTTCTGAAGCGGTGACTGGTGATTGTATACGGTTAAGTTTTGCTACAACTGTAACCTGGATAAGAGTTTGGACCTGATCCGTAAACCCAAAGCCCATTTACCTTTGGGTGCTTGACTTATTATTTTTATCCATATTCCCAATCCTATTCTCCAAATAATGTTTACCACATTATTCTAGAAATATTACCCTATTTTTTAACTATTTTTAGACCCCATAAAGTTATTAATTTCATCAAATACACCCTGAAAAAAAAGTTTAAAAATTATCAAAAACACCCCGCGATCCATACTTGCCAGATTCCGGCAACTACCATCGGTGGTAGCCGGAATTTTGTATAATGGCCTACCTGCCGACCAGAAATGGCCAAAAGTTCACCGATCTAACATTTTCCGACCAGAAATGGCCATCGTTTTGGCCTTTTCCGACTGTTACGGCCACAACAGGCCGTAGATCTGACCTTTTTCGGCCAGATCCGTGGTGGATCTAGCCGAAAAAGACTATAACGACGCGTTACGACACAGATCTGACCGGTCTGTGTCGTAACACGATTTTTGGATCAGATTCTGGCGATGGTGATCGGAATCTGCCACTGCAGGTAGTGGAGTGTTTTTGTCATTTTATATATTTGGGTATTTAATTAAATTAGCAAATCTAGGGACTTTTTCATAAATTTTTAAATTTTACCTCGTAATACTCCCCTATCTAACTACCCAATATTATTCTCAAAATCTTATCTAAAATAATAAAACAAGCGCAGCCTATACTATTATTATTTTGAATAAACGACATGTTTCACCCAAAGACCGGTGAAATGATGAAATGATAATTTTTTAGTTTTATTTATTCCAAATTTTCATCCTTAAATTAACAAAAAATCGTTTAATATAACCGTTAAGGGGTATTTAGGCCTTTTTATCAAAAAAAATAAAAATAAATCATGTATCAAAACTATTCTGCAAACCCAACCCTTCCTCTTCGCCTCTAACTCCACCACCAACACCAAGAACTTTAATCCACAGCATAATACACTTCAAAATCGCAATAAACTGCATTCAATTAACTTCTCCAATTAAATCTCAACCGAAAAAACAAACCTTATTGCATGAAGGCAAGCGAGATGTGTTCGGCGGTGGTTGGGCAGTGAGGTTGACTTGGGGGTGCATGAGGATGGGAGTGGGAGGTGCGGGGAGATGAGGCGCAACGACCTTCTCTGCGCGCGCAAGCATTGCGAGAACTACCGTTCGCGAATGGGTTTTGCGGCGGCAAAGGAAAGTTGGTGGGCTGGCTTTGGGTGGGTTTGTTGTGGGGGAACTTAAAAATTCCCCTACCGCGACGGGAGTAGCGAATGTGTCAATGAGGCGGGAGTGGCGAAGGAACTTCAAAATTGGTTGTTCTTCACTTTTGGTTGCTTTGATTTGATTTTTGGAGTTGTTTGGGAGTGATTTTGTAGGAGTTTTTGTTTGTAGTTTGTTTGGCCATTGATTGGAGTTGATTTGTTGCATTTTGGGAGATTAGATTGTTCAAAAAAGGGTCATTTTCCACTCACCCACCGGCGCCCACCATTTGTTTGTAAAAAAGCCACAACCAATGGTGGCTGGGTGGCGGTAGTGGCAGTGGAGATGAGGAAGAAGAAGAAGAAGAAAAGAGGGTAATTTGGTAATTGTAACCCTAAATATTTAGAGTTCACTAATTGTGTTACTTTAAGGGTGGGGATTTGTGTTGACAGAAGAAGAAGTTCAAGCTTCAAACTCAGCAAAGTATGAACTGCATGCATGCACAATCTTCCTGGTTCACGTGCATCAGTTAAAATTAATAACAAACTTGCTTTTGGTTAAAGCAAGTTGCTCAGTCTGTTAAAGCAAGTTGCAGTCTGTTAAAGCAACTTGCAGAGCAACTTGCATGCAGTTAATGCAAGTTGATAATCAACTTGCACACGGTAGAAGAAGTGTGTTTTATCTGTTAAAATCAAATGGTGTATAATGAAGCTCTTGGATTTTTGGTTAATGGTGTAGATTTANTAAACACATAGTCCAATAAGATATTTTGATGGGTTTTGTGATCGTTTATTTTGAAAGCCTTAGACACTTCATATTTAATTGATTTGGATTCCGACGACTAGTATGGGCTATAGGGTTTATTATGCCCTTAATGGAGAAACATAATAGACTGATATATAAATTGGCTAGATCCACTTTCCAAATGCATGATTAATTATTCCTATTAAAATATCGTCATATTTGTGCGTTCTTGGAAAGGAAGACAAGTCTCTTGATCAACAATTGATCTCTTTGAAGAATTAGAGACAATAGAATAAATCATGTTTGTCTTATTCCTAATTTAATATAGTAGAACCTCTCTATAATCATAATGTTAGGACCAACTAAATTTATTAGTATAAGGAGTGTTGACAGAAGAAGATGTTCACGCTTCAACTCAAACAAAGTATTAGTTGCATACAACAACCTGTCGGGCCACCTGCAATCAGTTAAAGTTAACCTGAATAACTAATTGCATTCTATTAATGCAAGTTGCTGAGCAACTTGTATGTAGTTAATACAAGTTGATAATCAACTTGCATGTGACAGAAGAAGTGTGATCGTCTGTTATGATTGAATGGTGTATGATGAACCTCTTGAGTTTTGGATTAACGATGTAGATTTAGTTTAACTGAAGTTTGTAATCTACCATCGGGTGTTTATAAGATATGAGTGTGCTTTGGTTTGCTCACTGTAGAAAAAGATGGAATAAAAATAAAACACTTGATTCCAGAACTTTTGTTTTTTTCTACTCTATTTTTTCTTCTGCTCTGTTTTGCCTTCTTCATGGTATCAGAGTTGTTGACATACGTCAATGGCAGATCCTAAGACACCCCTTACCTCAGTTCTTAACATAGAAAGAAAAGCTATGGATTCAACCTCAGTCTCAACTCTAAACAGCGCGCTACCTACCATTACCGTGAAGTTAGGAGAATGAAACTATGCCTACTGGAAATCTCAAGTCCTTCCTGCACTAAAAGCTTACAAGCTAGAAGGCTTTGTTACAGGTGACAAACCTTGTCCTCCTCCTTTTACAATTTCTGAAACTGATGAATCAAAACAGACTGTCAATTAAGAACATGTAGCATGGAAAAGAATTGATCAGTTGTTATTTAGCTAGTTGATATCCACCATTTCAGAAACTATGTTTAGGCACGTTGCTAACTGTGATATAGCATTTGATATATGGCACACATTAGAGATGCATTTTCTAACAGACTCTAAGGCTAGGATCCTACACCTAAGGAATCAACTACAAACAATTGGGAAAGACAGCTTTAGCGTAAATGATTATGTGATTAGGATGAAGGAAATTGTAGATTCTTTGACCACTAATGGTGTGGTTGTAACAGATGAAGAGTTACTCTTATACATTCTTGATGGACTTGGAACTGAATATGACGCAATGGTAGCTACTTTAACTGCTAAGAGTAGTAAAGTATCATTACAGGAAGCACAATTCCTGTTACATAAACACGAAATGAGACTGGAGAAACAACATTCTGCCTATATAGGTTTTCATGAAGCTGCTACTTTCTTGGCAAACAAACATCTCTCCAATTCTCAACTAACCACATCAATGCTAAACACCTTAGGACAACAAACAAATCAACCTATACATCCTCACTCCCAAAATCAACATGAACCTAAACACTCCTATCTACCTACTCAAAATTTTCAACCCTAGAATCAAAGTTTTGGCAGAGGTCGAGGAAGAGGTCGAAACTTTTACAAGCCTAGACTGTTTTGTCAATTATGTGGAAAGAATGGACACATGGCCTTGCAATGCTATCATCGGTTTGATACTTCCTTTCAAGGAAACCAAAATCACCGACCACATTTTGGGGTAGAGGACAATACCTCATAGCAACATACTCAATCCACAACTCCTGCACAAGTGTTTTTTGCAACAACTCAGCCTACTTACTCAAGTTACTATCCAAGACAGTCTTACCAGATTTCCTCACCAATGACACATCATCCATAATCCTTTCAGAACAACACTCTAGTAAACTCCTCTGAACGAAATCTGTCACAGTAGTATTATGGATATTCAGGAGAAAATGAATTGAACAAGCAAACTACAACAATTTAGCCAAAGCAGATAGCAACTCCTCTAATAGTTTCAGATCCCAACTGGTTTATTGACTCAGGTGCAACTCATCATATAACACCTGATCTTCAAAATCTCTTAGTAAAAAATCAATATACTTGAACCGAATCTCTCCAAGTTGGGAATGGGTAGTGTCTTGACATCTCACATATAGGTTTGACTATTTTACCCTCCTCTTGTATGAACAAATCCATTCAATTTAAAAACATACTATGTGTTCCACATGTGACTAAGAATTTGCTGAGTATTTCAAAAATTACAAGAGATAATAATGTGTTAGTTGAGTTCTCTGCTGATGATTGTGTTATAAAGGACAAGACTTCTCAGGTTGTACTTCTTAAAGTAACCTTACACAATGGCTTATATCAACTTGACATCCCAAGTGGAAATGGAGCCTGCCGACAACAGAATTCTACCTCATTACAGCCTTCCCTTTTGCAACAGTCACAAGCAACAACTTTTCTTTCTAGACTTTCCTGTTTACACAATTCTACAGGACAGGAAGATTCCTGTGATGCACTTGTCAGAGAAGGAAATAAAAGCAAAGCTCCAGCATCAGTTAGTGAAGGAGACTTATGGCATAGGAGATTAGGCCATGCTCATGTTTCAGTCCTTAACTCCCTTGTACCAACGTTGAATGTAAAGGACATCATTAATAAAATTCAGTTTTGTGAAGCATGTCAATATGGCAAACTTCATCAAAACTCTTTTCCTTCATCACATTCTCGGGCAAGTAAACCATTTGAGTTGATATATACAGATGTTTGGGGACTTGTCCTTGTAGTTTCAGCTACTGGATTCAGATATTACCTACTACTTGTTGATGATCATACCAGATACTCCTGGATTTACCCCCTCAAACTGAAATCAGAAGT